TGCGAATCGAGAGTATTTTTGGTGTAGTTCATGGAATTTGTGTTTGTGTGTGTGTGGGGGGGGGGGGGGGGCATAACTGAAAAGTTTCCTTTTGTTATTAATTAAAATGAGGCTGTGAATCGATATCTGGCTACGTGGCTGACAGGTCCAAGCCGCAGGCACCATAAGCAGCATCCAAGGTGAAGGGCAGGGCAGGGCAGGGCAGGGCAGGTCGTTTGTTAGAATGCGACACGTCGCGACGTGTCGTGGGCGTCGCAGCAGAGCAAAGCAAAGCAGAGCACAGAGAAGAACTAGAAAAGTGGAACGTGGAACATGGAACGTGGAACATGGAACACGGAGGGCAACGGTGGCTAATGTTCAGGCATAGAACATTTGTTTTATTGTTTGTGCCGTTGTTTTTCGTGTTTCTTTTGTCACCTTATCTTCCACGGCAGATAATGAAAAGTAAACAAAGGCAAAGACACTTTCACTTTCTTGATTTCTCTCATTCTTTTTTTTTTTGCATATCGCTTTTTGTTTTTTTGCGCTGTTCTGTTCCATTCTGTGGCTGTTGTTGCTGCTGCTGCTGATTCATTGGCATGTAAATCACAATAAAAAGTAATATCAAAGTAATGAATGATGGCCAGCCAGCCAGCGGATGTGTTTTCCCCCATTCAGCTGTCAGGCAAACAAATATGCATGGCCGGAAAAGTCCGCCAAGTGAAAGTGCACTTTACTCCTCCACTAATTACAAATGTACAACGCATAAATAAATAACCAAAGGTGTCCCGACTGCCTTAGCTAAGTTCTTTGTTTCTTTTTTGATTTTTCTTCCTTTTTTGTCCCCATAATTTTCTTACTGTTGCCACTTGAACCAGCAGCCAGATAAGCAGCAGAGTCCTCTGACTTGGGTTCTTTGTTTTTTTCTCCAGTGAATCTCTCCATTGCGGATGCCATGGTCTCCAGCCTGAATGTGACCTTCAACTACTATTACATGCTGGACAGCGACTGGCCGTTTGGGGAGCTCTACTGCAAAATCTCACAATTCATCGCCATGCTGAGCATCTGTGCCTCGGTCTTCACTTTAATGGCCATCTCCATCGACAGGTGAGTGGATTGGGCAGGGCAGAGCATAAAAATCATCCCATCCAGACAATCCAGGCGGCAGCTTATGAATACTTCAAGGGACACGCTTCAACCCATATCAATCACGACTTCAAGTTATGATAGATTTATGTCTATATGCGGGCTAACCCATTCATTCGATTTATGGAGATTTTTCTTTTGCCTGCCAGCATAAATATACATAAAAATGCAAAAAAAAAAACTTAAACGATTGCCTGTCAAGAGAGCAAACCCCGAAAAAAGAGCCTTTGCGTTGAATTAATCTACTGGAAATTGAGGCATCCTCCCATTCCTATGAAAACCCCATAATTTCGAGCCTATTTATCCTTAGTCGATTGTAGCCTAGTCCGCGTACGCAATTAATGGTCTTTGCTCTGACGAAAATTGAACGAATTAATTCAATTTTCGGAATTTTCCAACATGCCGCTGCGGCCTGCCGCCAAATTGCATTTCATGGAGGTTTTTTTGTTTGGCTTCTCCATGCGAGACCCATTTATATAATCTGCTTATGGTTTCCGCTTTGGCCTCTGGCGGGCGCTGCCAAAAGTTTCAGAATGCCCGAGGACCGGTGCGCTCCCCTTTGATTGTATTAAAAATCTCTCGTTTTTTTTGTTGTGTTGTGTTTTGTGTGTGCGTGGCAGATACGTGGCCATTATGAGGCCACTGCAGCCCCGGATGAGCAAGCGATGCAATTTGGCCATTGCCGCGGTTATCTGGCTGGCCTCCACCCTCATCTCCTGCCCCATGATGATCTTCTACAAGACAGAGGAAGTGCCGGTGCAGGGCAACAGCACAAGGACCGTCTGCTATCCGGAATGGCCGGATGGTCAAACGAATCATTCCATGTTGGAGTATATGTGAGTATAGAAAACCGAGGGGTGAAAGGGATTCCTCATCATTGAGGTGGCATAAGCTGTGACGAATTTACGAGCAAACGGATGCCAGCCACGGGGGCAAAGTCAAGCACAAGTCAACGCTTTTGTTGCTGCCTCTGAAATAAAGGTGCAAGGACAGGTGCAGAGGCAGAGGCAGCTGCACGTGCATGTACGACAATCGGAGACTGCAACATTGGAGTATGACACACCCGCAGCCCACATGCCATTCGGGTAGGTGGATGCCAGAGATATGAGATAGGAGTCGTAAAAGCGGACATTTGGAGCTGTCAGTTGGCAGTGAGTTGACAAACGACAAACGACAAACAGCCAAACAGCCAAAACCGAACCGAAGTCAACCAACCAAACAAGGGGCATAAAAAAGCAGGCGACAGAGAGGCGGAAGAGAGTCTGGGTGGGGGCACATGAAACGTGTTGCTTTTTACAGCCATTTTGTACGGCTATTTGGTTGAAGCGCTCCCTGTGTCCTGGCTGTTCCGTGTGTGTCGCATGCAAGGCCATTAATTTTAGATTCATAGCCAAATTGCTACTTACTCAATAAACTCGCAGCAGAACAATGTGCATCCATAGATAATGGGCTTTCACAGACATTTGCCCGACTAACTATAAAGGATTTTTGTAACAATGATGTCTGGTCTGTTCACTGCAACTCCTGCAACTTTTAGCTACAACATACTCATCATGATACTCACCTACATACTGCCCATTGTGTCCATGACGGTCACCTACTCCCGCGTGGGCATCGAGCTGTGGGGCTCCAAGACCATCGGCGAGTGCACGCCCAGGCAAACGGAGAATGTGCGCAGCAAGCGGCGGGTAAGCAATTTACATTTAATTTATTTCCTCTCAGTTAAGAGAGAGAGAGAGAGATTTCTCTTTTAAAGTTAAAGATTTAAAGACATAAATTGTAGCATTTATTTACTGTTTCGTCTCTGTTCTCCTCTCTTCCCGTTTAGGTGGTAAAAATGATGATTGTCGTCGTGCTGATATTTGCCTTTTGCTGGCTGCCTTTCCATAGCTACTTTCTGGTCACGTCCTGCTATCCGGCCATCACGGAGGCGCCCTTTATACAGGAACTCTATTTGGCCATCTATTGGCTGGCGATGAGCAACTCCATGTATAATCCCATCATTTACTGCTGGATGAATTCGCGGTGAGTACGCCACACACGCACACACAAAATGATGTTGAGTTTTCCATCTCAGCAAGGGAGCTGCCTGCAAATTGATGTCTGTACTTGCTGTGCTCTTGTGGCACTCATAATCAACCATGTTGGACAGTGTACACACATGAATATAGTTTGCTAATCCATGACACCATCATAACGATGGATATTCATATCTGTATATATATGCATCCACCACTCGAAAAAAAGGTCAAACGTGGTGCTGTCCACAAATTGACTGTTTGACTGTTTGACTGTTTGACTGTTCACGCGCCAGTGTCCGTGTTCGTATCCGGGAAAACGTAACGATTGCAATTAATTTCGCTCAGTCAGCGGATATCTGACTATCGATGGGTGGGCGCCAGTATGGAGTGGCAGCAGCAGCAGTACCCCAGTCAGTGCCAGAGCGGTGGAGACCCTTATGCAAATGACGAAGGATAAGGACAATGAAGGTGTTTGTTAATTTATACGCGGCTGTACAAATAGAGCGACAACACTTGCGAGGCTATAAATTGTAATCCAAAGAGGGCGCAGAATAATTTGTCCGTCGATCTGCTAAAGCGACGACGAGTGAAGCGGAAACGGAAATAGATAAGCTAGCAGCACACTGCCACGCCCAACGCCTCCTGTGCATTAAATTGAATTTGATTGTAGCCATTTGCAGTAGCTCTAGTTTAAACATTCTCCCTGCATTCTCTTGCAGCTTTAGGTACGGCTTTAAGATGGTCTTTCGCTGGTGTTTGTTCGTGCGCGTGGGCGCAGATTCGCTCAACCGAAGGGACAATCTCACCTCACGATACTCCTGCTCCGGTTCACCCGATCACAATCGTATTAAGCGGAATGGTAAGACCACAAAAACACTCTAATTCCTGAGGAGTGTGGGATATAATTAATGAGAGTTCCATTTACTATTGACAGACACACAAAAGTCTATACTTTACACCTGCCCCAGCTCCCCGAAATCGCATCGAATATCACATTGTGGTGAGTGTTGTAGCATCCAAATTATATTCTTTATTATTTATATTTATTTGTAGGAGTCTTGCGCAATGCTCCGCTGCGTGCCAGCCAGCAGCATGAGAGCCTGCATCGCCACTCGGCGCCAGTGGATCAGCTGGGCCACAGCCACAGCAACAGCAACAGCAACAGAAAGCGAGCGCCGTACCAGCAGGAGCTGCAGCATCGCTGGCCTGGCCAGAGCAGTGCTGCCAGCAACACCAGCAGTTCCGCTCTGGCCATGGAAAGTCAAACCACGCAGCTGCTCTCCTGACAGTCGACGAACCCTGCAGCCCTACCCCTGGAAAACGTTGAGCTGCAGCTGCAGACGCAGATTGTCTGCTCCTCATCGCCGCACAACAATAACTATCGACGCGCCAATTTGGGTGGTCGGACAGGGGCAGTGCCGGGCAACGAGAAGGATGCAGCCGATGACAAAACCTGGCTATAAGCTTACTTTATTTAGGTCTCGAATTTATACTCTTAGCAGAGCTTAGATTAGCAGAAAGCTTAACACAAATATCTATCAACTAATGTTCCAAATGCAGTTCTCAGTCCGCTCTCATGCCAAGTACCTTCGATGTATGTGAATGATTCCACGCACTAGCAGCCCACCCATTTGCACATATCAAACGGATATTTAATGATGGATTTTCATGTTACAAATGCTACTTGAAGTTGTTTTCGAATAAGGATACATTGGGAGACAGAAGCAGCTTTAGAAGAAGCTACAAAATAATAGTCCAAAATGTTTATGTTTTTATAGTTAAAATCTTTATACATAGACAAGTGTTCGATCATGTTTAAGCTGTAAATACTGTTACTGGTTCCTCGAATTTCAAACATTTCCCTACTACACACAAACCAATCAATTCGCTTTAAGCTGCCGACTTAAGTTGTACAAAATAAGTAACTGCGTAACCAGTATGAGTATGAATAGGAGTATGAATACGAATACGAATACAACTACGAATACTTTTCATGTAAATATAAATGTCTGAATGTAAACCTCTTTGCGAATAAAACGACTTGCTATTTATGAATTATCAAACGCATTTTCGATTCGCACATTTTGTTTTGTGGTTTAAACACTTTAAACTGCCAACAGCTTTAAGGGAGAGACACTCCTCTTCTGCATCCTGCATGTTTATTTAAGTATTCCATCTATATTAGACGAGACGAGAACGAGAGTATTTTGGAGTGTGGCATCTTTGCCAGAGAGAGAGAGAGTTGGCCTAGAAGCTGCGACAAATGTACAAAAAGTCCCCAGTGGGCTGTGCTATTTGTATGTTTGATTTTAAATATGAATAATCCGACTGCCAAGGGCGGTCTCCCTCTCCTCCCTCGGCCTCCTCTGCCAGTGTCAAAACATATTTGAAATATTTTGTGTACGTTCGTCTCTCTGTTTTTTTTGTAGAACTTCCCTCCTGCAAGCTGTCTATGCTCTGCCCTGCTCTGCTTTGGCTGGTGTATCAATTTTTTATAAGTAACCATTTGAGATAAAATTGCATTTGATTTTTTGTTGATTTTATTTGCTTTATGTCCCAGGCCCACGCTCCTCTTGGGAGCGTGCAGGGCGTATCCGTACGTTAATTTTCCAATGTTTCATTCTTATAAGCTATGAATAATTCGTTGGATTTTGCGTTTTTGCGTCTGGTGTGTGTGTGTGTGTGTAATGTCCTTTTATTTTCCTACTTTGTAATAACCGTCACAGAGTAATCCCGCAGTGCCCGTGGCTTCAAATCACCCGAGGCCTGCTTTAGTAGTCTTGGATTCAAGGGAAGTCGTCGTAAGAAATTGTACTTTTGCACAGATTTATGCATAAATACTTACACTTAATGCCATGCCACATGTGAGTAAACAGCACTCGTAAATGGAAGCCAGAAGCGGACCCTTAGAAGCAGCAACAGGAACAGCAAGTAGAAGGAGCAAAAGCTGTCTTAATGCATTAGTTGTGTGGCCTTGTGCTCGCACAAATAATATTCACGAGTAGTAATGCTGTTTCAATTTCACAGCACTAAAAGCATTTTAAATGCAGGTCATTAGGCCTCGGCCTCTGCTCCATTCGAATGGCAAATTGGTTGCATTTCATCTATTGAATTCCATTAAATTGTATGGGAATTATATCTTGTTGGATGCATTTTAATTGGACAGCAGCAAATGGGTTACCAGAAAGAGACTACTAAATTGGAGGAAAGCTCACTTTAAAGCCTACATATATGTATGTACATTTATTCATACATTCCTCATTGTACTTTTGCGACTTAGAACCGGACACAGTGGGTGGAGGAGAGCAACTTTAGGGCAAGAAACAGCAGAGTCGTAAAATGCACACCTTTTATAAACATTAAACAATAGAAGTAAGGCATTTTAGTCCCGGTGTGTGTGTGGTGGGGGCTGTGGCTCCTACCGGAGACATGTCAAACACATAAAGAAGGTCAACCTGGGGCGTCAATAAGCGAGCAGGCAACCAGCAACCAAGAAACCGAGCAATCGAGCAGTGTGGGAGGGCTGCTTGCGGTTGCGGTGTGCCAGACCCAACCATAATTGAATCCTCAGCTTGTGCACTCACTGCCAAAGCCAAAGCAAAAAGGCGAAGCGCTGTGCAGTCCTGCCATGCCCTGCCCTGCCCTGCTCATTGGCGGCTTTTGTGGACGACAAGTACAATTTTTAAAAGTTGTTTCTGCTACTTGCATTGTTTTGGTCTACAATCCAGATCGATTTATCTGTCCGCGTGCTCCAAGGGAAATGCCGGAATGCCCACCCATAGCCTCCGCCTGCCTGCAAATAGTTTCAAGTTTTGTTCCTGGCATGCTTCTGGTCCTAACCAGAATAAATTGTATTACATTGCAGTTTTGCCTAACGAACTTTAGCCTTTAGTTAAGGGATAAGCTGTAGGACTATCGGTGGCTGAATCACTTAGTTTTGCTTATTTTTATTGCATAAAAAGTAACAAAAAAATTGTCTTTTTATTTTTGGCATAAATTATCGTACACATAAATGAAAATAAAAACAAACACTCCAGGGATTAGCTCCCTGCTTGATATACTGTCTACTATGATGCCTGTATCCGGCTGATTACCTTTAGATAGTGCACCAGATGCCTGCCATAGTTGTGCTGAATGTAGAAGATGCATTGCGTTTGGCGCTTCAGGTGGTAGTCCATTTCGTGCTCATTTAGCTGGAAAATATCACTCAGCGAATCGTTGGCTCTCGTGTGCAGTCTGGAGGTATTCAAGAACTTCATAATCCGCTCATTCGTGTAGTTCATTTGCTGCAAATTAAGACCACGTTAATGTCAGTTCTAATTTGATTGTGATTGCATTCCACTCACCCCTTCAAAGTCCTCCATTTGCTCGGGCTTGAGGCTAAGGTAAAACTTTGTGGCATCATCGCGATCCTCGGCCACAGCCACCTTGCTCACTGCCGAGGCAAAGGTCAGATCATCGTTGTCCGACTCCATAATGGCCAGCACCGAGGTGGTGAGGAAGAGCAGTGCCGGTCGCAGCTGATGATCCCTCGCGAGCAGCGTGATCTCGCAGAACAACAATATCTGAGCGTGGCGCAGCTCCTCGGGCAGACTGCTCCATATACGATACGAGCCCGGGTGGAGCGCCGTGTTCCGCGAGACGCTGGGCTCCACCTGCTGCGGCATGGCGTTGAAGCCGACCGTGTGGAGCACTCCCTGACCGGTGAGGGCCAGCATTTCGGCCGCGCCACTGATGGGTTTCGTAAAGGCGCCCACAATGCCCTTGGTCAAGCCGGCAATGACACCCACGGAGCTGCGTGCCTCGAGTGTGTGGTGTGCCAGTCCTCCCACGGCGCCCAGCAGACTGATGCCGAGTCCCGTCAAGCCTTGGGTGAGGCCATCGGCAAAGCCCTGTGGTCGTGCACGTCGCCTGGCCTCCGTCAGTTCAATGTGTTCGGCGTCCAGCGTGAGCCTGTCCAGATTGCGGGCCACCGAGCCGGCCAGCTTGGTCACCGAATTCACCGTGCCCGCCGTCACGTTGCGCAGCAGCGAGGCAGAGCCTTGTGTGACGCCCACCATGAAGCCCCAGGGGCCACGGAAGAGGCCCTGCACCGGCATCGAGATGAAGTCTCGCAGTCCAGTGCTGAAGGAGCGCGCCAGTCCGCTGGGACTGCCCAGAATCTCGAGGGAACCGACCACCCAGCCAGCGCCGAAAATGGCACCGCTGAGGTAGTGCAGGCCCAGGGATTGGCCGAAGCGCAGGGGGACTGTGAGGATCTGCTGTCGCTCGTAGCGGGAGAAGGAGAGTGGAGAGTGATCGAGGGCTATGTACAGCCTGGAGGAGGTGTGGACGGACAGGAGCAAGCTCAGCGGCTCCACGGTGAAGCTGTTGAGGCGCAGCGGCTCGGCAATGTACAAAGACTGCGCTACGACATGGTCGGGCAAGAGGATCTGGCCATCGGGCAGGAGGATTCTCTCCTGCTCCTCGACGGGCGTGTGCACGCAATGGGATGGCTCACACTCCACCAGCGTCTCCAGCAACTGATTGAGATATGCATCCTCAATGTAGACACGAAACGGTTGCACATGACACCGCACGGCCTGCAGCTGCAGCTCGTCCTGATACAAATAGAACGTGAGCAGCGAGACGGGTCCAGTCTGCTGCTTGTAGACCTCATCCAGATCGTATACCTGCGGCATGCCATGATGCCGCCTGTACAACTGCTCCGCACAGAGCAGCACTGGGAAGTCGTACTTGCCGCTGGAGTACAGCTGATTGTCCACCTGCAGATTGGGCAGCTGCAAGCGCAGCACTCGCTGATCCTCGTCGTCGTCGTAGGCCAGCATTGTGTCATCCGCATAGACATTGCACACCTCCGTCTTTAGGTAGTCCTTCTCCCGGTTGTCCGTCTGCAGGCTGAACACAAAACGCTTCACAAAGATTCGCAGCTTGATCTGTGGCGGGACGTGGCATTCCTCGCTGAAGTGCGCACAGCTCGCAATGTCCGGCAAGGGTAAGGGATCGCTGGGAGCTGCAGGCTCAACCTCTGCCACGGTGCTCTCTTGAACTTGCTGCTGCTCCGAGTGTGTCTCTGGCTTTTTCAGCCGCGAGCGTAGATCCTTTACAGAGAACTCCAGCTGCTGGGCTATGTAGTAGATGTTGACGCGTATGACGCGATGCTTATCACAGACGACCACCTTCACATCGCCATGTTGCGGCACATGCAGAAACTTCTTCCACGACTTGTCTGTTCTAATGGGCTTTGACCAGCCGAGTTTCTGCTTGCCACAGGAAGACTCTGAAAGGAAGAAACTCGCTTAGATTTCGCTTAAACTCTTCAGTCTCGTGTGTGTGCTGTACCCACCATTGTAAACAGCCAGCGACAAATTGCACGAGGTAAACTCCACATCGGGAAAGTTGGCGTACATCTGCGGCGGGGTGTAGTAACATTCACTGTGCGGCGCCACCAGTTGATTCCACTCAAAGTGCCGGCCCACAAACTCGGAATTGGTGCAGGTTACATTGCTATTCCCCGAGGCACTCGTCTGCGCCACAATGAACTTTACATTTGTGCTATTGCTGATGATCAACGCTGGCGCTGTGTCACGGAATATGTTCAGATAGTGGACGTTATCCTTCTCGATGAGCGTGATCATAAAGGGCACAGAGTCCCGTCCGGATTGCAGGCTAAAGCAGCGCCTGGTGAACGGTATGGCCAGGGGTATGGGTATGGAAACATCACGACTGCCCGCCACACTGAAGCACAGAAAGAAGACAAAAGCCGTATCACAGGTATGATTAGCCGCCTGGGCATTCAGATCGTAGAAAACATCCACCGTCACGCCAATGCTGCAGAGGGGAGTATGAGTTAGAGCTGTAAGGATAAACGCTCTCCAATTTCTTACCAATTCTTTGTCCCCTCCACACACACAAGACTGCGATTCCGCTTGGCCATGCTGAACGCATTCACTGCCTCCCGTGTGGAGGTCTCCTTGTGATCCATCGTCAATGGCAGCGCATTCAGTGGGACATCTGTAAAGTTTGTGATGACAAACTTAGAGCGCAGTTTGAACACACGACGCCCATCCTCCAGGCGGTACTCCAGCATCATGCGCAGCACCTCCTCGTTGCGCACCACCACAACATCCACAAAGGAACTCGAGCGTAGCATCAGCGCTCGCTTGGGGCCATTCTCCACTGTCTTGGCCAGCTCCTCCAGGTAGATGGGCGTTGAGGCAATCCAACTGCTGCCAAAGGGCACATCAATGGTGAAGACGCCGCACAATTTTGGCACCATTTCCAGGCAGTTTGCTTTGAGTTGATGTCGCTCGCGGTTGGCCTGACCGATGCTTAGGTCCAAGCCCGTGGCATTGATGAACATGCCCCAGGCAGAAACGTCCAGTCCCAAGGTGCAGGAGAACTCCCGCGTGGCCTGCACGCGGTATTCCACATCGAAGGCATTGGCCAGTGGCACATGCCGACGCACGCGCAGCTCCTCATCATCGTTGAGCGGCCACTTGGGCTTCAGCGTCTTGCCCAGCTTGTGCAGAGAGTTCTCAATTGTCCACAAAGCGGGATCGAAGTAGAAGAACTTGTGCCAGTCCATGGTCTTCAGCATGAGCGTATATTCATCCCGGGAAGTGCTGCACAGTGGAGCTCTGTAATAAATTGGGTTTACAGAAGCTTAAAGTGGAAGATATTTGATAACCTACGGAAACTGAAAGCCCATACGATGTTCTGTGCTGTGTGTGGTGGCCGTTTGCAGCGACAACCTTCCGCCATGTGCCTCGATCGGCGCGCTCTCCCCAGTCGTATCTTCTGTGGCCTGCAGCTCACCGCTCAGCATGTTGCACACCTCAAAGATGGGCCAAATGCAAATCAATATCTTCTGTGGATAAAACTCCGAGTCTGCTGCATCCACGACCACATCCTCGCGCAAGATGCGCACCCAGAGGCTGACAAACTGCTGGTTGGGGTTGTGCGTGGGCACCTTGACCAGCCAAGGCAGATTATTGTTGGTCTTCAGTGGAATGTCGCCAGTGCGTCCCTTGCCGCGACCAGCAGCAAATTTGAGACTGTTTAAAAAAGGGAAAATTGAGTTCTAAATGCGAGCAAAACTAGGGAAATTTCCTACCGCAAATTGATGTCTCCATTCCGCAGCACAGTCTGGTAGAAGGAGGCTCTACCGCTGGCCCGAAGCAGGTGCTCGTGTGGCGTCGTTTGCTCGTCGTAGCTTTTACCCTCGTGGCGGAATTCGGTAATCAACTCAAACGGCACCATGCTGATCACCTCAATCTGTCCCTTAACCAGGATATAGATCTGTGTGGCAGACAGTTTGCCCACGTTGATGGTGATGCAAGACTTGCCCACACGCAAATGGTGGACCCGTTGCTCCTCCTCGAACTTCAGGGCAATGTGCAGCGAACTGCTGGCCTCCATTTGATTGGTTTCTGGATGCTTAACGAAGAAAGTCAGCTCTTGGCCTTGACCACAACTGCGGAAGTGATAGAGCTGCAGTTCGTGTGGTGCCAGGGATATTTGCTCGCTTGTGCCCGTCTGCCCGAAGCTGAGAGCCGCCTGCATGCGATTGACCACCACGCACTTGGGCATGAGCGTGTGACGCAGCTCGCTCTTGCGCAGCACCTCCTGCCAGTGGTGCTTGGAGCTGAGCAGCGTGTGGATCATGTAGGGCGCACAGTTGAAGCGCAGCTTGTCCAGCAGAAAGTTCGCTTTGAGCGAGCGCGGAGAGTGGGCAAACATCGCGTAGCTGGAGAACTTCATGGGCTCCATAATGTCCAGCATGTTGAGAAAGCCATAGTCCAGACACTTGACCCTAGCGCGGAAATCAGTCTCCAAACTAAAGTTGTTCCTGGCATAGACTGCCGAGTGCAACTGCAGATCGCCCACGTGGAGGGTGAGAAAGGTCTGCGGGCAATCTGTGGTGCGCTTCAGCGAGTATTCCTTCAGCAGGGATGGCAGTTGCCCCTTGGGATCCGGCAGATTCAACAGATTCACTTCCATGTCCTGGCAACACAACAGCAGCTGCAGCTTGGGCACTGCCTCTGCCCGGAAGATGGTGTCGATGCGCATGCACCCCACGAGCACCTTTGGATGCAATATGAAATCGTTGTCGGCATCCGTCTTGAAGGACTGATCAATGCGGCCGCTGTCGATCTACAAAATAAATTGAGTAAGCAAATGAATGCCCGTCCACTGCTTAAAGTGCTCACAGAGTGCAAATCTTCATCCTCATCGCCCTCAAAGCAGGTGCCATCCACCGAGATCAACGATTGCAGTATGACCACGCGCCAGATATTTGCACAGATTTGACGTTCCGGCGGGGATAGCTGCTTGGTGACTGTCTCCGACAGCTGAAAGTCGCAGTAGTGCAGAAATGTCTCGTGCGTTTCACTAAAGTATTCCATGCGGCACTTGATGTGTATGGGATTGGAGTCCTGCAAGAGGGAAATCAATTAGAAGACAGCCAAAAGCAGAGAGAAAAGTGAATCCTTACTGGCATGGGAATGGGATAAATGTGAATGCTGGTCATCTGCCGTGGCTGTGGATAGCGCCAGCAAATGATGCCATAATTCTTCTTGATAATCTGCACCTGGTAGGGCATGGGCAGCACAGACTCCGAGTTCAAGTAGACAAACTGAAAGGCGCCAGCTCGGAGGTCGTCCTGGTATAACTCCGCTTTGGTTTTCAGCAAACGTTTGTGGCGCCCAATCGAGTCCAACGATGGATTGCACTTGATGAGGGTGCCGGGTTCAACCTCCACTGGAGTGCCCATGATCGGACGTTGCAGCAGGAAGCTCTGCCACTCCCGCTGGGCATAGCCAAGGATACGCCTGAGACCTTCGTGTGCCTTTTGCAGCTGCAGAATGCTCCAAGCGCTCGCATCGATGTGCAGCAAGTGTAGCTTGAGCGTGGCGTTGATGAGGAGATCGTCCGCCCACGGCTCACTGACCAGATCCACGGACAAACGCATCAGCAGTGGATGCAGAAAGATCTTCTCGCCCGCCTGCATGTAGAAGGAGCCAATCGTGGAGCGTATGACGGCCTTCTGGGGACGCGGATTGAACTTGATGCTGGTGCTAAAGTCCAGCCAGACGGCGCTGCATTTGTACGTTCGTTCCTCGTCGTACAGCTTAAGGCTGATCTGATCGAAGGACAGATTCAAGCGATCCGAATTGTAGCAGTTTCGTTTCATTTGCCGCAGCTGTGGCCCCTGCACCACAGGCCGCTCGCTGCGCACCGCAAAGCAGGGACTCTCCAGGAGCACCGTGTAGATGCGAATGGTATCGCTGGCCAGCTGCTGAATGTTCGGCTCACACAGGCGCAGCACAATGGGTTTGCGCACCTCCACATCCACTTCGGTCTGATGGATGCGATCGCACTGGGAGCGCACAGTGAGCAGCGGTGGGGGAATGCCCGAGCTGCTGAGGGTACCCGGCAGTGTGTCAAACACAGACTCATTGAACTCTCCCGACTCCACCGATGTCTCCGTGGCAGGAGTGGCCACAGTTACGTTCAGATTGAAGATGGATGCCTGCGTAATGGTTGCCTTCAGGCTTTGGGTGCACATGTAGCTGGGCTGCGAGACAGTCAGCAGAATGAGCGGCTTCATCACTGGCAGTTCTGGGTCATCCAGCTCCAAAACATCGTAGATTTTCAGCACGAATATGCCAGCCACAAAGGAGACACTTTGCGGGTAGCTCACGCCACTCGGTTGCAGCTCCTCTTGGGATTTCTGCGAACCCATTAGACGACTTCTCCCTGCGATATGTATTCCGGAATCACTCTGACAGGAGCCCATAAAGATATCGCTGCTGCTGCGGGCATCCACGAAGCTGGAACGACTACGCTTGGCGTGGGACAGCCTCAGGCGACTGCTCTTGGCCGATATGTCCACGGGCATGGACTGCAGCGAAGGCTGCTTGGCATACACCTGATCAAGGACACTGCGCAAGCGCTGAAAGCGCACCAGAATGCAGGATATCAAATTAATTTGATGCGTCGTCAGTGTGGCCACAAAGTCCGTCACGCAATTGTACTCCACGCTCTGGCCGCAGACGAAGAAACGATCGTAGATGATGGCTGGGGCATAGACCATGATGAAGTCAAAGTCCCTGAAGATGTCCATGTGATCCAGCTCGGTGGGGCGTGTCTGGTTGTTCCACTCGAAGGCCGGATTGTGGTGCTCGCTGGCGAGACTCTTTTCCATGTGATACTTTTGGGTCTGCAGCCAGTTGCCCGTGGACAGGGAGACCTTTCGCACGCTTAGCTCGTACTGACGATCCTCGACCAGGGCTCCAGGTGTGCTCAGCATGTTCAGCTCGGCGGCTTTCTGGTAGATGTCCTGCCGCACCAATTGGCGCACCAAAGGATTCTCCAGGCTGGGCGTCAGCTGCACACTCTCAATCTACAAAAAAGGAATGAAGTTGCGGGGAAGTTCTCAAAGATGAGCGCCTAAATCTTACCCTCAGCAGCAGTACACTGCAGCACTTTCGGCCCGTGGCCAATGGCAGATAAATGTAAATTCCCTTGCTGTTCAGATGCACCATGGGCAGATCCTGCACAGTTGTCACGCGACTCTCAGCAGCTGGCCGCTGTTCCGTTGGCTGATTGCTGCCCCTCATTATTTCTATCACTCCACACAGTGGAATGACAAAGTCAGTGATTTGATCCAGATCCAAGACCATCTCAATGGGCTGCACTTCGATGAGCAGCTCAGAGATTGTGTGCTGCTTGTTGCGGTGATTTCTGGCTCCAATCTTTGAGTACAAATCCTGCAGGCTGACGCTGGTAACCACCACACTGATCAGCGGCAAATTGGTGCTGTCCCCGAGCATTTTAATATAGAATTCATCCTTCTTTTGCCACTGTCCCTGCGGCCTGGCCTCGTAGTAGTTGAGTCCCAGATTCTCCACCTTGGTGGTGATTTTCGTAAAGTCCGAATGCTTGTCCATGTTCAGCAGCAGATCCTCAAAGGTTACAACAATCTTGTTCTGCTTGCGTTCTGCAGGGCTTTCCATTTCGAAGCTGATGCGTGGTATGGTCCACTGGCAAAAGAATATCAGCGAGAAATCCACTGCGGAAACTGAAAAAAGGCATCAGATGTAAGACAGGAAATGGTTCTCTTTATTTTTCTTACCTTTCTTCGCTTGCGGCGGCTCAAAGTTTGGATCCAGCTCTAGAAATTCCTTGATCACTGGATAGTTTTGTGAGCTGCCCGTGTAGACCTCCAGTCGGGGTGCCCTACTCGATTTGATATTGCCATCATCTTCGGGACTGAGAGATCTGTGAATCTCGGTTATGATTTTATAATGTTCGTGCAGGAGTTTCAACTGAAATGTCGTGGGATTAGAGCTACTTTTAGAACGATTAACGTATGTTTTAGCTTACCCTTCGAGCGAAAATATTGATGGGCGACATGTCCACGTGCACATTGATTGAATAAGTACCAAAGCCGCGCTCAGGTTCGACAGGTTTGTCCTTGCTCTGCTCCTCCTCGTTTGTCTTTTTGGAATGTTGCTGTTGCTGCTGCTTCTCTTCTGCTAACTTATGGGACATGGCCAGCGTGATGGTTGTCCTCACTGGTTCCAGCACCAATTCTGTGGCGTCTCCTCTGCAGTAGCACACATTCAGATCGTTGAGATCTATCACCCAATTGATGAGATCCGCTTTGGCAGCCACCAGAATGACGCTTCGTATGTTGCCACGCGAAATAAAGTCAAAGTTGCTGGATTTGATCTTCATGCGTGGCAGCCGTATCGATGTGTACTCCACATCAGTCTCCGTCGGGCTCTTGCGCACCATCAAATCGCAGACGTCTACACGGACTTGGGCAATCTCCACGACCACCACCATGGAGCTGAGTCGCTTCACCAGCTGACCAAGATCAAAGCCACTCTTCTGCTCACTCTTACTGTCGGTCAGTAAGCCAGTTATGGGTTCCGTTTGTGTGTGTCGCTCATCCCGCTCCGAGCTGAGGTGCACAGTCTCCTCTGGCACGGAGATCTTGCGGCTATTGTTGCGGCTGATGCGACGCGGCTGCAGGGGCAACGCGGTGGCCGATATTGTGGAATAGTTTGACACAGATTGAGGAAATTGCAGTTCGGACTGGCTGGTGGCAGCCTCCACTTCCATTTCCAGCTCTGAAAATGTAACAAAAAGTGTTATTAGAGAGTAGCTTTAAGTTCAAGCTTCGCTGCCTTACCATTTTCCATGGACTTCTTCTTCTCTTTGTGTTCTGGAAAATTGAGAAACTGCAGCAGATAGATGTCCGTGGTGAGGCGAAAGGGTTCCACCCACAGGCACAAGACAGTGCCCGGCATGCGCTCTTGTTCCACGGCTGCTGCCTCCTGTAACGGCAGCTGTAGCTGCACCTCTATCCACTTGTTGTTGAGGTCCTTGGTGGTGGACAGCACCACATTCCGCATGTTCATCTTCGAGTGGTAGACATCGGTGTTGAGGCTGCGCAGCGACACATTGGCCGAGAGATGCGTGTGATATTTGTGGCAATTGAGCTGCAACTTTGTGGCCAGCGTCTGCAGCTTGATCACATCCGAAGAGGGCGTAGACTGGGCCACAAGCTGGGACAGAGCACACAGCTCTGTGCCGCTGAAGCTCGTTAGAAGGGGAACAATGCGCTTGGCGAGGATCAACTCGCGCTTCGAGAACTCCAGAGTGAGGATCTCCGATTGGATCTCCGCCGTTTCCAACGCTGCATCGTTGGGTCGCCAGAGATGGGGCAGCAGCAGGCGATTGACGTTCAACTGCATACGTGGAATGTTCAGCAGCTTGGCGCGGCCGTTCTCCGGCGTCGTGTTCAGTATCATCAGAGTGAGGTTCTTCACATTGAATCGATAGCAATTGTAGCACGAATTGATGAGCTCCCGCGGCTTGTCCTGCAGCGGGGTAATCAGTTGCACGAGACGATGGGCGTTCACTGGCCCGCACAGCGTGCCCTCCACCAAGGGTAGCTTGAGCTGTAGATACGGCAGCAGGGATTGCTTGACGGTGGTCGCCAGCTGATGCTGATTGGCCGCCGAGGACTCCTCTGGCTGCTGGCGCGGGTACAGCTGAATGGTCATGTTGCGCAGCTCAATCTTGTAGTTGCAGGTGGGCGCGCAGCCAATGAGGTACTCCAAGTCCGCCAGGGTCATGTCTGTGTTCTTGTGCTCCGGCGGGGCAGGGGGCTGTTGCTGTGGCTCCTCGACTGTGGCGGCGACTTTGATCGACTCTGAATGATATCCCGTGTAATCGTAAGGACGCAATAAATCGCTAATTACATTCTTAACCTGCAGAAACGACTGTGAGAAGTGGAAAGTGATGCCAGCAGACAGAAGTCGATACTGAATGCGCAGTCCCATATCCTTCAGCTGGCTCTCGGCCAGCGGATGGCTGTTCGGCCTCGGCGCACGATACTCGACAATGTCGAACGATAGCACGGGGCTGCGGAAGAGCATGTACTCATCGGTGTTCCTGGCCACGTAGTCCTCGTAGTTGTGGCTGCACCAGGTGCGATCCGAGAACATAAAGTTCTCGTCGAAGAGGCTCTTGTCAATGAACGACCGCTCCTTGAGGGCCTGCAAGGGATTTGTCGTGGAATATATAACTTAAAATCTCTCAAATAATTCATCTACTCACCTCGCGGGTGTTGACCAGCATCCGATCGACTGGATCTTCGCTTCTGTATGCGCCCAGTGGCTCCATGCAAATGCTCGAGAGCCCCGCCTTCACGTTCGTCCAATCGTTCTCCTTCAGCAGCGATCGCTCGTAGTAGATGCCGCCCAGGCTGATGCGCAGGATGGGCGTGTAGCGGATCCGCTTTATGCCGCCCATGGCCTGATCGGTGAAGTACTCCGAGTTCTTCAGCTGAAAGTTCAGCTCCTCCGCATAGATGCCCATGTCGAAGGCATGGCCTAAGATCTCCTCGTCCGCACTGGCTGGGGCCTGCGACTCGAAGCTGGGCAAAAGGTTCCACGCCCACCACAGATAGCTCTGGCTCTCGGGCTGTGCACCACCCGCAGGCGTTTCATTGCCCTCCGCAGACTCCTCTGGGTCGTCCAGGTTCATGATTTCCTCCTCCATCTCCGCTGGCTTGAGTTCCAGCAGCATTTTGATCAGACGCATGACCATGGGGAACTGCAGCGAGGATACATTGATGTCCAATGCCTTGGTGAAGACTCCGATCCTCGTCGTGCTCGAGGTGCTGACTGTGTTGACGTTGTACTTGCGCAGGACGCGGCACTCCAGGGTGCAGCGATAGAGGACCGGCTCCTGGCACACCTCAATCCTGCCCGCAGTGTTCCGCTTGTCCAGGCAGATGGTTAGATCGGATATTTGCAGCAGTCTGCGCATAAACACCGACACCGGATGCACATCCACCATCGTGTGCTTCCAGTTCTCTCCGGCGGGGCTGAAGTTCAGGCACTGGACATTCATGGACACCACAATGTCGTCCTCGACATACTTCAGAATGATGTTGTGGCACTGCAGCGTGATGTTGTTGATTATCTTGTTGACCACGACCGAGCTGGAGGCGGGAGCGGCTCCCTTCTGCTGCTGTTCCGCCTCCATGGCGGCCTTTTTCGCCTTGCGCTGCTGCTCCTTTTGGTACGCGGCGCGCCGCTGCCTGCTCACATCGTCGGGCAGCTTGGCCACAAACTCAATTGTGTTTATGATTATCTTGACCGGCTCCGACATTAGCTTTGTCCATGGCACCTGGATGCTCAGCTCGTGAATGTGCCCCGAAACTAGATCCACGGGCAGATTGAGCTCCTCCTCGAGCACCTCCAGGCGCAGGTCGAGGTTCTGGAACGTCACCTCGCCCTCCCACAGCGACACCTGGGCATCTTCGTCACGGAAGTTCTTTACGTACTTGGCCACGTAGCTCAGCAGAATGGGGGTGATGTAGGACTCTAGCTTGAACATGGTTGCTCCTCTCCTTCAGTTTCCACGTCGATTCCCACACGCTGCAGACTCACTCCAGGTGTATCCTGCATTCACTTGGCTGCCGTCGCGCCTTTACTGATGTTTCAGGCACATGCTGTAAATTTTGTGTCGTGTCGTTTCTATGCCAAAATGAAAAACAAATAGTTAAATTTGTTGTAGATTGTTTACGTTTTAGCCCCGGCACACAGTGTTGGCTAACGCGTACGGCGGCAGCAGTGGACACTTACAGCACTGATGTTTTGGCCGGAATCAGCTGTTCCATTGACGTTTGCATTGTTGACGTGCAGCAACAGTTTTAGGTTTTAACAACTTTATCAAAATGCCACAAATTACGGAAACCGGCAAGGAATTTGGTGAGCAAGAATCATTCATTAGCTCACTCTTCAAACTGTTTAATCGAAGATTACTCGCAGATGTGGTCAAGTACTTCCTGCAGCTGCTGGACAAGGACAAGGACATGTCGTATGGAATAGCGGCCATAAGGACGCTGCTAATGATACTAGAGAAGAAACAATGTTCGTAAGGTGGTTGGAGAGTGATTTACTATACTCTAACACACATATCTTTTAGTTGGCACCATCCACATTCTGCACACGACCATGAGGGAGGCGGTGGCGGCCATGCGGAATACGGATTTGTCCATAGCAGCCATCGTATCGGCCGGCGAGCTGTTCTGCCGGTTCATAACGCTCAGTCTGGACGATAAGCATATGGAGGAGTGCCGTCTGATTATGATCAATCGGGGTAAAATCTTTCTGGACAAGCTGGACAACTCCCGACAGGTCGATTCTGCTGCTGCACACAAAAAGATTCAAATTGTAATCGATTAATGCACTTTCAGGTGATTGCGAAGCAGGCGCAACGTTTTATTAGCGACGGCTGTCGCATATTGACACACTCCAGGTCCCGTGTTGTCCTCAAGGCTCTGATTACAGCCTCGCAGAACAAAAAGTCCTTCCACGTGTTTGTAACGCAGGGCGGCACAGGCAATTCCGGGTGGGTACCACTATTCAGGCGAAGGCTATCATAAATTAAAATTTTTCTTTATTAGCGAGGAGATGATCCGCGACTTGAATGCGGCTGGCATCGACTGCACGTTAATACTGGACTCGGCCACGGGCTATGTCATGGAATCCGTTGACTTTGTGATGGTGGGAGCCGAGGCAGTGGTTGAGAGTGGCGGCATTATAAACCGCATTGGCAGCTACACAATGGGTCTGTGTGCTCGCGAGATGAAAAAGCCCTTCTACGTGCTCGCGGAGAGCTTTAAATTTACGCGACTTTATCCATTGAATCAGCGCGATTTGCCCAATGAGTACAAGGTGAGTGAGAATGCAATCATTGACAGCAAAAATCTCAATCTCAAATCGTTGATTCGTTTTGCAGTACTCGCGCAAGCATCTTAGCGATGTGTCCAAGGTGCACCCCCTGGTGGACTACACACCGCCGGTGTACATAACGCTGCTCTTCACGGATCTAGGCATACTGACGCCCTCCGCAGTGAGCGATGAGTTGATCAAATTGTACATGTAAATTAAACAATAAATGATAGTAGTATAGTATATACTATAGTACACACAAAAACGGATAAATAAGAGAGGAGGTTACACATTTAGCTACAGCTGAGGATGTACATACATTATATACATATACATGCATACTTATACATAATGGTACATGTACTGAGAATAAAGCTAATTAATTAAGCCCAGTTACTTCTTAAATTTATATGTTTTATGCGCGTCAGAGTGGCATTTCGTGCGGATAATTGGCATCGACATCGACATCTTCTTCGGCCTCCCAGTCGGAGCCCCAGGGGTCATGCATGTACAGGCTGTAGTGGGAAGGTTCGCTGTTGTTGCCATCCTCATTGGAGTACTCGCTGTTGTACTCGAGATCGTCGGAATAGCTGTCGCTGCCACTGTCCTCGCCCAAGTCGTGCTCATCATGTGCTCCCAGCTGGTCGTCGAAAACATCATCAGCATCATCCAAATCGCTTGCATTCTACACAAGATTACACCTTTAAATATCGTTACCTTTGAATCTGTTTGATTCTACTCACAAATTGTCCCGACTGTATGTTGATTTCAATCTGCAAGCGTATGTCCATAACCAGAAATGCGGTGGTGACCAGAATCGGTATGGTCAGGCGACTTTTCCACGCCAATTCGGTGAGAAATAGGAAGATGTTGCCGAAAGTAGAGTCCATTGTGGCGCCACTAGTGTTCTACCACTTCAGTCTCCTCTTCGGGCTGCTGCAGAGCGTCGTGTTCCACTATGCGCACGGTTTCGCCCACTGTCAGGGCTTGGACTGGAAGCAAGTGACGTTGCAGCCGACCGCTGTCGATCGGTGTGTCGAGCTCAAGCAGCTGCTCAAATATTGTGACTGGTACGCCGTTGGCCGACAGGAGTGAACGCATGCAATCCTGCCGCTTGTCCTGCAAATTTTGCAACAATTTGCTGCCCTTTTGCACCTTGGCCAACTTCCGCTCTGAAAATGAAGCTTGCTTTAGCGATGCGATTGATTATTCTCTCCATTGGATAGTCTCACCTAATTGTTCCAAATATATGCTAGAATCAGGCAATGGATCGTGGAAGTTCCTATCATTGCTTTTCTTAGTAGATTCAAAGTCTTTTTCGTTGCCTTCCTGGTCCTGGTCCTGGGATGTGAAATTATCCTCAAAACTGTCGCAGTCGCTCGAGAATTCTTTGTTTTCTTGCTCAGTTTTTGTATCTATCAATTGCCATGGATCGGCACTGCCCGTTGACATGTTTAACAAACCTACTGAGCTAATTTAACTCTCGAAATGCATTTATGTCTCTTTGGGAGCAAGTTTTGTTGTGAAAAAAATATAAATTATTGCAGTTAGAGCGAGATGGAGAGAGTCATGCAGAAAAGAGCTGCCACCTCGCATATGTTAGCTTTCTGGCAACCTTTTTTAGTATTACCGTTTCTGCAAGCAGAAAATTTAATCACTCCAGCGAAATTGGATGGTCGCATGACGATGAGTCCGCATTGACCAGATACTTCAGTTTATGTTGAACATTAGAAAAAAAAAGTTGCTGAAATTTTGGAACTCAAAAAACAGATAAAAAGAGACAAAAAGAGATATAAATATATATTTATTCTAAAAAAAAACGTTATATTGATATTTTTATATACCTTTGACAACCCTAAGCCTAATTTAGTACTACCATTCCAGCATTCGGAAAAATTCCAGAAAAATACTGAAAAGCAATAACAATTAAAATTTAATCAGTCCAGAAATTTAACAACAAACAAACAACTTACTGCTACTGCTTACTAATGGACGTGTCTGCCCTCTCGGAAGCAAATTTTAGTCCCGCGGACTGGATAAATGCCAACTACAAGAAGTACATAGAGGAGAATGGTGGCACAGACGGCGATGCGACGTCTTTTATCCAAAGCTACGTGGCCAAGCTGCAGCTGTATGTGCAGCAGGTGAACTACGCCGTGGAGGAATCCAGCCGGCAGGTGGTATCAAGCATGCCGCGCATAGCCAAGGAGTCCGCCACGTTGCACAGCGACGTGAGCCAGCTGCAGGAGAAGATGAGTGCCATGCGGCAGGAGGTGGCTGCCGTGCAGAGTGAGACGGGCGAATGCATGGCCACCCTGGAGCGGCTGAACACGCTGCAAACGAAGCTGCAGGCAGCCAAGGAGTCGCTACAGGAGTCGGATGGCTGGGGCAACCTATTGGCAGAGCTGGAAGACGGATTCGAGCGTAACGATTTGAAGGTGCTTGCAATAATACTGATCTGAGATTTGATTTAACTAAAAATTTACATTTTCAGGGTGCTTGCGAGAAGCTGATAGCGCTGCAAAAGTCCCTGCTCGCCCAGGAACAACTGCCGGGCCATGCGGAGCGTCTCACTCAGGTCGAGGACTTCAAGAACCGCCTGGAAGCGCTGGCCTCGCCCAGCGTTGTTCAGTGCTTTGCGGAATCCAATTTGGAGCAGGCCCAGCACTATGTGCAGATCTTCACGAGCATTCAGCGTCTGCCGCAGTTGCAGCAATACTATCGGGCTGTCCAAAAGAATCTCTGGCAGCAGCAGTGGAAGCAGACGCTGGAGCTGCAGGGCACAGAAACGCAGCCGCAGCAGCAGCAACAATTTCTCACGCTCTACTACGATCAGCTGCTCGAGCACTGCCAGCGACAGGTCAAGTGGTGCTCAAATCTGTTCAGTGAAGAATCGACGCAGCCCTTCCTGGTCATCGCCGAGCTGTTGCCCGCCCTCCAGCCCACGCGGGATGCCCACATTCTGCAGCTGCTGAAGACATCCAACGAGCGATTGGAACTTCTGGGTCTGTTCTCGCAGGTGAACCACAGTTTTGTGCTGCATTTGAACTCGCTGCTGGAGCAGTCGCACATCACACTCTCCGATGAGCTGCACCGGCAGCTGGGCGAGGCGGTGTTCGAATACTTTCACAAGTTCATACAGCAATATCCACGCTTGGAGGAGACGCAGCTGTCTACCCAGGTGGATCGTCTGCTGTCGACTCAGGCGACGCCCAGCGATGCGGTGCGTCATCTGGAGGAGAGCACCCGCAAGCTATACGAGTGGCTGAAAGAGGCCTGCGAACGCTGCTCTGCCATTACCAGCGATCTGGCTCTGTGCAAGCTGATAACCCTGCTGAATGGCATCTTCAAGCGTCAGCTGGAGAACTTCTGCCGCATCCAGCGGCAGCTTGGCCTCAGCCTCGGCTCCAGCAGCTACGCAGCGCAGAGTGAAAACTGGTCCCTGCTGCAGTACACGATGTCCCAGTTGCAGTGCCTCGCGGACTTCCAAGTGCAGCTGCATCAGTTCGAACAGGAATTGCTCACGCGAATGACCACGCTGGCGACCAAGCTGGCCAAGCAGTCCACTCGGGGAAACATTACAATATTCCAGACCTGTGACCATGCAGCACGCACCCAACTACTGAATTGCATTGCTGACTATCAGCAGAAGAAGGCGGAGGCCACCGACAGTCTGGGCATATTTCCGCAGATCTATGCCGCTTTGAAGTTTCAATTCACCGAAACTCACGACATAACTCTGAACATACTGCTGCAGCCCATTGAGACGCACCTGGCGCACATTCGTCCAGCGGCAGAGGCTCATCCCTCGACGGGCATCGACATGCCATCCTTCAGTTTTGCACCCCAGGAAAGTATCACGCAGATCGGACAATATCTGCTAACCCTTCCGCAGCATCTAGAGCCATTGTTGCTCGCTCCCTCGGCGCTTCTGAAGCAGGCCTTGGAGGTGTGCAACGTCAAGTACACACAGGCCATACCCTGTGCCGATGTCTTGCTCTCGCTGGTGGTGGAACAGTGCTGCATTTTGTATCAGGCGCAGATACTGCAAATCAAGTCGCTGCCAGCCGCGTCCGCCAAGCAGCTCAGTGTGGACATTGAGTATCTCTCGAATGTGCTCGAGGAACTGGGACTGTCCATAAACCTGCAATTGTCACAGATCCTCACCTTGCTGAAGGCCGCACCAGATCAGTACTTGACCCTAAGCAGCGGCTGTGAGCCACGTCTGGTGACGGCCATACGACAAATGCGAAATATTATATCCACACAGTAGATGGCCAGCTGAGCGCTGAAATGTATTTATGTATATAATTAATAGTGTGACAACAATTTAACGCATTAACAATTAAGAGTACTGCTAGTATAAATATTTAATCAAGTGTACAGCTTCTAGTATTGCACGGCACTTCGCTTGGCATGGCCAGAGTCGGTAAATTGCTCAGCGGTTAAATGAATTACTTCAAATACATGCGGCGAGTGCATTTGAAATGGAATACCACACACACCACCTACAGGACTCGCTGTATTGTTATTGTACTTCTAACAATTTTCCTCCTAACCATGGCACTGCGCTGGTCAATGAAATCTTTACCTGAGCACACAGTACACAAAATGGATGTGCCTGCAATGCGTCAGAAAGTCAAAGCGATGATGCTGCATGCCTGGAGCAACTACCATCGATACGCTTGGGGATCGAATGAACTTTGTCCCATAACGAGGCGCGGCTGCCGTGGCAGCACGTTCAGCACCCACAGCTTTGGCGCCACTATTATCGAAGCTTTGGATACCCTGCACATAATGGGCTTGAAGAAGGAGTATCAGCATGGTCGTGATTGGATCGAGGCACACTTTGCATTGGACAATGTAAGCGCTGCGCTTCCTGTCTTCGAGCTAACTTCACGGCTGCTGGGCTCCATGCTATCGTTATACTCATTAACCGGAGACATTTTGTACAGGAACAAGGCGCTGCAGATTGCCGACAAGATTATGCCAGCTTTCGATACACCCACGGGGATACCCAAGTCCATAATAAACCTTAGATCAGGACACGCACAATCAAGTAATGACATTTCAAAGTTTGGTGCACTGCACTTGGAGTTATCGTATCTGAGCGACATCACTGGCAACCCAGTCTACAGAGAGCGAGTGCAGCGAATCCGCAAGGTGTTGGGGAACATGACAAAGCCGAATGGATTGTACCCAAATCGGATGAACATAAAGACGGGCAAATGGATAGGCGGCGACTCTTCCATAAATAGATTTCACGACTATTTGCTCAAGTCGTGGCTGCAGTCGGGAAATATGGATACAGAATCTAAGCAGCTGTACACTGATGCCATTCTGGACATTGTGCAGAATTTGCTTACTGTAAGTCCCCAAGGGGATACATACATATCGGACTATGCAAACGGCAGTCAAAAAAAACGAATGGATCAAGCGGCATGTTTCTCCGGTGCATTCTTTGCATTTGGAGCAGCCTATGACCAGATGAAGCACTGGGAAAAGTACACAGATATCGGCACTAGCATTACAGAAACGTGTCACAGGAGCTACGAACAAACACCCACGAAACTGGCGCCGGAAGTGCTTGTCTTTCCAAACGGGAAAGCAGCTCCACATCAGAGGAATCGCTATATGCTCTCTGGAGATGTCGTTGAGAGCTATTTGGCCATGTGGCGCCTGACACGTGACAAGAGGTATCGCAGTTTAGGCTGCAAGTTGGTGCAGGCAATCGAAAAATATTGCCGCAAGCCACACGGATACAGCGGCATAAGGAACGTGCACGAGATGCCACCGGAACCGGTCGATTCGCAGCCAAGTTTGTTCTTGGCAAAGACACTCAAGTACTTGTTTCTGTTGTTCTCCGAGGATGATGTGATTTCGTTATACGAATGGGTTCTCAATAGCGGCGGACATGCCCTGCCAATCAAGGGCGAGAATGAATTTTATCGCGAGCTCGTTTATGATCGATCCTAAAATCTGCTTCGATGCAACTACATAAGTTTCACAAGAAGTTTTATGTTTATTTTCAACACCTATAAAGTGAATGCAAGTACAATTCTTGCTTAAAATACATCAATGTAAATGCACACAAACACCTATATAAAAGTCTTATAAAACAATAGATACATTATGTATACATATATATATTATGTATATGCAAGACAAAGATGAAACAATATTTAATATCTGAGCACACACACCTAAGCATAAGCACCACGCCTGTGAGTAATTCCTTGGACCCTCTGAAGTCTCTCTAATCCATTCTCCATTTCCATTTCGCTTAAAGCTGACTGTTGGCCAGATGATTGTCGATGACCACCTGAATGATCCTCATGCAATGCCGCTGCCTGGCCACCGTGTTGTCGATCAGTTGCTCGATAAACTGACTGGCCGGTATGGTGGTGTTTGGTGGGATATCCTGGGTGCAGCTGATGTACTTGTTGAAGATTTCCGTGTTCAACGAGGTGGCCAAGTATGTGTCGCCCTCGTCCTGCTGCTGCAGCTTGTTGAGCACCTGGGCGGCGGCCAATATTTGTTCCTTTGTCTTTTGATATGCTTGTAGTTCCTGCAGGCTGGCATAATCCGCGTTGCTCATTTGAACAGATCTCTCGCCATCTATATCCTTGATTACGCTCTTTGTCAGCTGCTGTATGTGATACTTTCGCTCGGACACAAAATTTCCCAGCAAGTAGCCTGCCGACAAGAGGACTCGTTAGTGAAAGTATTGGACCCTGACTGCCGTCTCTGACTTACCTGTTATCAGCATGAAGAAGGCAATTGTCAGCACCAGAGAGGCGCATGTTCGCTTTGAGACATATTCGCGGTATTCTCGGGAACTGTTTGCCCGCACAGCCGTCTCATAGCTGAGTACTTGATGCATTTTGTCAGAGTCCTTTTTGTTGCTTACAGAAGAGCACTACAGTGGGGGTTTGCTCATAAGCGGTAGTAGCATGACTTCATCGTATCCGTATCGTTCCACCTTTAATGGTAGTCAATGAACCCTCCCAACAGTTGTGGGAATGAGTTGTGTGCCGTGGGTTGTGGGTGGTAACCAGGAACACAAAGGAATGGGGCAAAGCAAGAGTGCACTTTACTCTCTTAAATGTTGCCAATCCTTAAATACAACTTAACTTTCACTTAGTCCTCACTGACGCCAGGGGTATTCTGTTTATTATTAAATGTTGCTTGAGTGCATTCACATAGCAATTAACTACGGCAGCAATTGATGTGTGGTTCACTTCATATATGTAGGAGTCCTGCCATTAAGGGGCGTGTGAGTTATGGGACTATGCCCAACCGCAACAGTTTTTAATTCTATTATGAAATGGTCGTTTTGTTTTTATTGCTTTATCCGAGTTGTCCTTGCACCCGGCGCGGTCTGCGGTCTGCTTGCCTGGACGTCGAGTTATGCACGAGCTTGGCACTTTGCCTGCCATCGGCTTTATTAGCTCTCGCAGCTCTGGTGAGTTTCCTACCCAAAGCTTTCGCCTGCTTTCGTGTTGAATAGGGACTCGCGTTGAGAGCGGGTTGTGTTGTGTTCGGTTGTGTTGGGTTGTGGTCAAGTGCAAGTAAGTAAATTTAAAAACTTGCACACTACCAACAAGTACTTAATAAGTTTGCAGCCATTTTTCGCTTTGCGCTTTTCGCTTCCTCACAAGTCATATCGAGTTGCAAACAGTTGACGCACTGCCGCACGGGTCCCCTTTTGATTGTCTCTCTTTTAGCTAGCGACTACTTCAAGGATATTGCATGCCATTCGATTAGAACTGCCTCTTGGCAGATATCGTGTTGCACTTCCACTTTGATGTTCGCTTCATTGAGGTGTTTAAGTCTGGGGGGGATGTGTGGATGTAAACAAAAGAAATGCGAGTACAAACCAAAGTACCTGCCATTAATTTATTAACGCTGATTAGATTTTGGGCTCGTTTATTTGCATCGATAATGAAGTGGAAACGGATTGGTGCTATATAAAACTCAGACCACCTGGGGAGCTGTGCCAGTCCACAGAAATGGCTTTATTCGCACTCTTATTGGCAGCTCTAGTGGCCTCGGCACTGGCCCATGACGCTGTGCATCCAAAGGATCTGCCGTTGGAACAGCGTAATATTGAGGGTCGCATTACCAATGGCTATGAGGCAACTGAGGGAAAGGTACCCTATATAGTGGGCATCAGCTTCAACAGCAACGGAAGGTGGTGGTGGTGCGGTGGCTCGATCATTGGCAACACTTGGGTACTGACAGCTGCTCACTGCACCAGCGAGTAAGTTCTTCCTTAAGACAATATCGAGCAGCCATTCATGAGTTTATTTAATACCCAAAACAGTGCCGATGAGGCTTCCCTCTACTATGGAGCCACCAATTACGAGCAGGCTGCCTTCAGGCACACTGTCAGCAGCGCCGCTTTCATCAGATATCCCGACTATCGTGGGCTCGATCATGACATATCCCTGATCAGAACACCTCATGTGGATTTCTATAACCTGGTGAACAAGGTGGAGCTTCCAAGCCTGAATGAGCGCTACAATTCATTCGACAGCTACCTGGCCCTGGCCTCTGGCTGGGGTGCCATCTATGATGGCAGCAATGTGGTGGAGGATCTACGCTGCGTGGACGTGGAAGTCATCCCCCTATCGCAGTGCCAGGCTTACTACGGCACCGAAACTGCCTCCGAGAATGTCATTTGTGTGGACACTCCCGATGGAAAGTCAACCTGCCAGGGCGATTCCGGCGGCCCTCTGGTCACTCATGACGGTGCTAAGCTGATCGGCGTGACTTCCTTCGTTTCCATTTATGGCTGCCAGTCGGGTGCTCCAGCTGGTTTCACTCGTGTCACCCAATACCTAGAGTGGATCAAGGAGGAAACGGGAATATTTTATTAAAAGTCTACGATGTTTGTTTACAAATAAAAAATGTTAATGAGTATCAGAGAAATGATTTTTAAATTATATTTTTAAGAGATTAACAAAAAACATTGAAATAATAAGTTTTATATTAAATTACATTACATAAATAATTGAACAAAATAAATTCACTTTAAACTTAAAAAACTTAAATTGTCTTGAAAGGACCACATGTTTAATTACGAACTAGTTCTAGCTAAGTTTACGAGGATACAACAATTCATATTGTCAATTTATATTTTAAATTTAAATTAAACCAGTAATATTTAGTAATAATATGAATCGAATAACAAAACCCGAAATTTGTTTTTATTTTTTAAGTTTTATAATAAAAAAAATAGAATCCTAAAACTTATTATCTATCCTATCCTATTATCTCTAAAACTAGAAAAGGTATTATGTTCATATGTTCACATTTATAATAGGCCAAACGATTTATGATTATAATACTCGGATTCAGCGATACTAAAAATTATTCCAGCGTGATTCCGGAGTCCCTCAGGTCACTAAATATTGACAATCTTTAAATAAATGACACTTTTGCCAACTACTTACAAGTACAACACACCTACGATAGCCGAGTGTTGGCCATAATTTCACCGAACGTTCCACTCGAAGACTTCTAATCAGCAGACACAACATTCATTCAAAATAAACTTGAGCCTGATTTATTGCCAGTGAATCCTAAATTGAAGTAAAAGTAGCACTTGTCGATGTGTAGAGGAACCAGATAAGGCTGCCCCGAAAGTATAAAAGCGTAGGCAAGTGTTAGGAAAGGTATGAGTTTCAGAGCTTAGTCAAGATGAAACTGTTCGTATTCCTGGCATTGGCTGTGGCCGCAGCTAGCGCTGTCCCCACTCCCCAGCAGAAGCACACCCCTGTCCCTGTCAAGGACATTGAGGGCCGTATCACCAACGGCTACAATGCCTACGAGGGCAAGGTCCCCTACATCGTTGGTCTGCTCTTCAGCGGCAACGGCAACTGGTGGTGCGGTGGCTCCATCATTGGCAACTCCTGGGTCCTGACCGCTGCTCACTGCACGAACGGAGCCGAGTCCGTGACCATCAACTACGGTGCCAGCTTCCGCACCCAGCCCCAGTACACCCACTGGGTGCACCGCAACGACATCATCCAGCACCACCACTACAACAGTGGCAACCTGCACAACGACATCTCTCTGATCCGTACCCCCCATGTCGATTTCTGGCACTTGGTCAACAAGGTTGAGCTGCCCAGCTTCAACGATCGTTACAACAGCTACGCCGGACAGTGGGCTGTTGCCTCCGGATGGGGCGGCACCTACGACGGCAGCCCACTCCCCGACTGGCTCCAGTGCGTCGATGTCCAGATCATGGACCAGGGCGAGTGCAGCCGCACTTGGTCTCTCCACGACAACATGATCTGCATCAACACCAACGGCGGAAAGTCCACCTGCGGAGGAGACTCCGGCGGCCCCCTGGTTACCCATGACGGCAACCGCCTGGTGGGAGTTACTTCCTTCGGTTCGGCTGCTGGTTGCCAGTCTGGTGCCCCAGCTGTCTTCAGCCGTGTCACCGGCTACTTGGACTGGATCCGCGACAACACCGGCATCTCCTACTAAGAGGAAACTCATCCTTATTCCTAAATTTTCATTGGGTTACTTCAATAAACGATTTTACAGCAAAAACAACTGTTGAACTGTCATACAACGAATCTCAGTAGAACAGATTTAAAGGCAAAGATAAAGAGAGGGAGAGAGAGAAAGAGAGGTGGCGCACTCTATTGGGGTAGATGCCAGACAGCCATAAAGCAACTATATAAGGAGGGCTCGTCGGAAAAAATTAGGCAAACGTGCGAGTGAAAGGGCTCTCGCTGTAAGTGTGAGGGCAANGCTGCGGGACAGGGTGGGTTTAGCCACTGGAAATTAATTTCTCCATTGTGGCTTCTCCCAATTTGGTGATCTGATAGATATGGCCATACCCTACAGAATGGCGTTTTTAATTTTCTCTTATCTTCAAAATTGTAGATTTGGGAGGTTTTCGCCCTTTTGCGGGGGCGGAAGGTTGCGTGGCTCATTTTTTAAATACACTTGTAACAGTGTGAGCATACAGAAGTCTGGATGCAAAATTTTGTGGCTCTAGCTTTTATGGTCTCACAGATCCAGGCGCTCAACAAGACGGACGGACGGACGGACAGACGGACGGACAGATAGACATGGCTCAATCGACTCGGCTATTGATCCTGATCAAGAATATATAGACTTTATGGGGTCGGAAACGTTTCCTTCTGTGTGTTACATAATTTGTGCACAAATACAATATACCCTATTTACTCTTCGAGTACCGGGTATAAAAAATATAAAACCGGAAATTCTGTTATGGCGTTGAATTATATTTATCTAAATTTTTCACAGACTTTTTATTTTCCACCGACTGCCCCTTTGGAATTAAACTGCAATGACAGTCTGCAGGAAAATTCCATCATGCTAATTTCACCCTTTTTAAATATATATTTCAAACATTTCTTGTTCGCAATCGTTCAGATATTAGGTGAAACCTTCTGGAGCCTTATAATAAAACAGTCAACCGGAAGTCTCATAATCGAACGTCGAAGATTTCGTCTATGTATCAGAGATAGGGACGCGTGCCTGTTGGTGAATGGTAAATAAATTATTTGCATTAATTTTGTTAGCTTTATCGAGGACGACCCACGTCAGTAGGCCGCGGGTGTGCCATATTTTTCTTCAAAGAGTCTACTTGAGACGCCTTATCAGCAGGGCAAGACATTCATGCAAGAAACGGTTGCAAAATTTATGGCTAGTGTATGTTACATTTAATTGAGAGGAACACTTGTGGCTGTGTGCACAAACAGATAAAGAGGTTTCGTTAGTATAAAAGGTTCGCCAAATTTGAGGAAAGGTATGAGTTTCAGAGCTTAGTCAAGATGAAACTGTTCGTATTCCTGGCATTGGCTGTGGCCGCAGCTAGCGCTGTCCCCACTCCCCAGCAGAAGCACACCCCTGTCCCTGTCAAGGACATTGAGGGCCGTATCACCAACGGCTACAATGCCTACGAGGGCAAGGTCCCCTACATCGTTGGTCTGCTCTTCAGCGGCAACGGCAACTGGTGGTGCGGTGGCTCCATCATTGGCAACTCCTGGGTCCTGACCGCTGCTCACTGCACGAACGGAGCCGAGTCCGTGACCATCAACTACGGTGCCAGCTTCCGCACCCAGCCCCAGTACACCCACTGGGTGCACCGCAACGACATCATCCAGCACCACCACTACAACAGTGGCAACCTGCACAACGACATCTCTCTGATCCGTACCCCCCATGTCGATTTCTGGCACTTGGTCAACAAGGTTGAGCTGCCCAGCTTCAACGATCGTTACAACAGCTACGCCGGACAGTGGGCTGTTGCCTCCGGATGGGGCGGCACCTACGACGGCAGCCCACTCCCCGACTGGCTCCAGTGCGTCGATGTCCAGATCATGGACCAGGGCGAGTGCAGCCGCACTTGGTCTCTCCACGACAACATGATCTGCATCAACACCAACGGCGGAAAGTCCACCTGCGGAGGAGACTCCGGCGGCCCCCTGGTTACCCATGACGGCAACCGCCTGGTGGGAGTTACTTCCTTCGGTTCGGCTGCTGGTTGCCAGTCTGGTGCCCCAGCTGTCTTCAGCCGTGTCACCGGCTACTTGGACTGGATCCGCGACAACACCGGCATCTCCTACTAAGAGGAAACTCATCCTTATTCCTAAATTTTCATTGGGTTACTTCAATAAACGATTTTACAGCAAAAACAACTGTTGAACTGTCATACAACGAATCTCAGTAGAACAGATTTAAAGGCAAAGATAAAGAGAGGGAGAGAGAGAAAGAGAGGTGGCGCACTCTATTGGGGTAGATGCCAGACAGCCATAAAGCAACTATATAAGGAGGGCTCGTCGGAAAAAATTAGGCAAACGTGCGAGTGAAAGGGCTCTCGCTGTAAGTGTGAGGGCAACGACAATGGAGTGTGCTGATTAATCATAATCAGGCAATGTGAAAAAAGCATAGTAATTGTTTCATAAATTAATTTTTAATAGTTTGCTACATGATAGTAGTCTGTGTTTAAAAAAAAAAACAGCCCCTTCACTCGCACTTTTCACTCTCACGAATTTCTTAGTTTTGCCGACGAGACCTCCTTATAGTTTCTTCATGATTTCTTCATGATGCCAGACAGCCAACTGCTACTGATACTGTTTGAGAGAGAGTGAGAAAGAGAGAGTTCGCGAGCCAGGAGAGTCGACTAACGGCAATTGATTTCTTCATTCTGGCAATAACAAGACATAGTTGGAAGATTGTAGATTAGATAATTCTTTATGATTCTTCTATTTTGGATGGCTTATCGACTAGTTTATTTCTACTGGCTAGGAACATTCATTCTCTTTCCTTCATTTTTTTAAATATGTAAAATGTACATTTTACTTCTGTACGTTTGAACATATTATGTACCTTTGTATGAATTTCATAGATGCCTTTCCTTACCGGGTACATCCACCGGTGGGACAAATTTGCGGCCTGAGAGAGTGAAATTGGCAGCGGAGAAAATTGAACTCTAAAGCTGGAGAAAGCGACTGTAAGACGACCATTACGTGTGTATACATACATATGTACAATTGTAGTGTGAGAGTCACTGTTGAGTGGCGCAGCTGTTAAAGTGCGGTGGTGAGATTGGAAACCATACTAAGCTAACGGGAGTCCGAGCGTCACTTTATTCCACTTTACAAGCTACGGCCGCTCGAGAGCCTTATGGATCGTGAGAGCGAGCGCGAGCACAATCTCACAGCGCTGCCGGAGAGCGTTAACAGCATTAAACACGGCTCTTGTACAGGCTGTTGCGTGCAGCGGAGACAGGCTGTTACGCTGGGCTGTTAACAGTGGCCGCCCCCCTACCGCTGCTAGTCTGAACCAATTTCGAAGAACTTATGACCTAAGACGATTTCTTTTTGTATAATACTATTGCACCAACAACTGCCCAGCGACAAC